TATATATAATGTGTAAAATGTGTGCCGACAACTCCTAGAACTAACTCCAGGCTGAAAATTAGCGGTTGTAATTGTAGTATTTTAAACAGGATCAGCACTAATTGTTGCGCTAATTGATCCTTTGTGGATATTTTCTTACAAAAAAAAAAAAAACAAACAAACAAACAACCAGACATTTATAACGCATTCATTTTTTTTTTTACCTTGGTACGCTAAACCACCAAACCGCTTCTCCTTTTTTTGCGCCAACTCATTTTCTCCTCCTCCCTTCTTCTCTGTGTGTTTTTAAAACGTGGCCTTTTATTGCGCTTAGAGAATTTAAAAAAAAAAAGAAGTAGTCACGACGCCCTGGCTCCTTCCATATCCTGTATACCTCTGAGTGAACAAGTCACGAACCCCCCACGCCCACCCCTCTCCACAGCTCCAACAAAGCACACAGGCGACAGAGTCCTGCTGTTTGTGTTTTTTTTTTTTTTTTGCGTGGCCTTGGCCCCTGCGCGCAGACATAAAGTGCAGCCCAAAGCTGTGAACTTACTTCTCTGTGAAGATGAGAATGCGTTTTTTTTTTTTTTGCAAAGAATTGGGTAATTTATTTATTTTTTGCTCTAAACGTTTCGGTCACAAAATGTGCTTGGAGAACCTTTTAGGGGAATGCTTTATAATCTACTCTAATGGCCGTTTGGAATGAGTTAGTAATTTCCCTACATTGTTCCAGCTGCGGTGCTTTGAATTAACAAAAGAAAAATAACATGTTCCAAAGGCAGCCCTGCAATTATCAACATTGTCATCCATGCTCTTATAAACTCCACCTGGGACACCAACGCCTGATAATCTGAGCGAAGATGGGCTGCTCTGGCAGACAAATGTTAATGCTGTGACATTTTAAACAGGACACACTGCTGGCCGAATCAGCTACACAAACATATCTGCCTCGGCATTAAAAAAAAAGGCTCCTTATCTATCAAACTCGATGCCCTGCTCGGTAATGGTGATTGACTGTTGTACAAAATGCCACAATGACATTTCAGCTGTCAGCACGTTTACCTTACAGTGATGTGGCTTCCTGTCCCACTACAGCCTCAAACCAGAACTCTTCCCCACCTTAAAGCTTTTTCATCTTCCCATTTGTCGTTTTTTTTTTTTTTAAATTTCAACACTAAACATTGCAAAAGACCTAACAAGTAAGTCATTGTTGATGAATATTAGAGCATTAATAAGCTGTCTTCAGTCTGGACTTGTGAAACACTTAAGAGGAAGAGCGGAGAGGCACGAAAAGGTGCAAAGATGCATTTCAAAAGAAGCCCAAGCTTTGTGCTCAGGTCCATTGTAGAGCGAGGGTGGGACTCTGGGTGTCGCTGGTATTATAACAGGAATAATGAGATGGAGCTCTGGGGAGAGATGGATTCTTGAATTAAGTGACTTGTCGGTGCAGCAACAGGCTGTTTGAAGTCAGATGAACCTGTATGGCAGAGGAGAGGGCATGGGAATGAATTAACAACAAAACCAGTTACACAGAGAGAAGGTTGAGCAGATCTCATCCTGATGCTATTTCATCGTGGGTTTTGGTCTGATTGCCACCTGAAGATCACGGCCTGCAAGCTTTCCATCAAAGCCTGCAACCCGGTCGGGTGCATTTAATACGACCAACCCACACTAATGTTTCCTCTCAGGGGTACCCACTGACTTGATGAATAATGTAGTCCTAATTTGATGGTGTGGCTCATTCTTCTTGTTGGACACCTCTGGACATGTTCTCGTGGTAGATCAGTTTACACGGAGGTGTCTGTGTCCATGACAGCCGCTCACACTTGTTTCACCTGCTGATATGGACGTTGTCACGATTATTACAGTGCCATCTGGGGTCAGAGCCGGCGCTGGACAGCTGCCGCCTCTGGCAGTGGGTGAATTTTTTAATTATATAAAATTTCTCCGTGTCTCCGCCTCTTGAACTCTATGCAGAGGGCCGTGAGTGCGTGAACTGCGGTGCCACGTCCACCCCGCTGTGGCGGCGGGACGGTACCGGCCACTACCTGTGCAACGCCTGCGGACTGTACCACAAGATGAACGGCCAGAACCGGCCCCTCATCAAGCCCAAACGGAGACTGGTGAGTTTTTAACCCCGCAGCTTCACTCGCAGAGCAAGGCACCCAAATATGAGCACAAAGCAGATGACGGCAGCACAATTCCAGGAAAGTTATATTTTCCCTATGATCTTCCTGGAATTGTTTGTCCCTCTCACCTCCCGATGATCCGCCTTCATGGCCTGTTACAATACTGCTACTATTGCCATTGTTCATGCTATCGCTATTGCTGGTTCTTCTGATACTGTTACTGATACCAGTGCCCAGGCTGCTTCACTTAACACCATAAAGGAGGAGATTAAAGCAGCAAGGACACACAGTATGCCTACTATCTATCTATCTATCTATCTATCTATCTATCTATCTATCTATCTATCTATCTATCTATCTATCTATCTATCTATCTATCTA